ACATTTTATTAAATATCCTATTCGTATATGTACATTTATAGAAATAGATAGATATGTAATAGATACACGATAAAATATTGTCAATTTCGATAAAATTATTTTATAATAATATACGATATATAAGACAAAAATGTTCAATGTAATATTTTTAATTAACAATATATGCACACGCACACACACACGCACACACACACGCACACACACACACACGCACACACGCACACACACACGCGCACACACACACACGCACACACACACACACGCACACACGCACACACGCACACACGCACACACGCACACACGCACACACGCACACGCACACGCACACACACACACACACAGAAGCGTAAAACCGATTAGGCAAGCTCCACGTGGTACGCTTTGGATAATTCTAATGCCGGCGGTATTCCAATTTCTGGATTATAAATATTAATTTGTGACATTAAACATCCAACAATAAATTAAATCGTTTATGCCATATACATATATTGATTAACATCGTCTTACAATGTTATGGTGAATACATTCTTACAAGACATAATGTTTGGAATCTGATGTCATGAACAAACAAAAAGTACAGCTGCCAACCAACAAAATTCGACCAATATACAAAAAGGCAATTAAAAATCATTACTATAAAACGGTCAATTTATTTATTTATTAACATTTCTATTAACGACAAAAATCAGAAAATCGCAATTTTCAAATGCAGTAACTATTTCATCAATTTTACAAACTCAATCATCCTTGAAAATGTAATTATTAATAACTTTTATACTAAAGGTGTGCAAACAAAAATCTATCGATTGACATCGTTTTGAACCGCCGTGAACGTGTTTTGAATTTATCTTCCATAATTAATGTTTCCCGAAACTTCAATTGTTAATAACTTTTAAACTAAGGGTGTGCAAACGAAAAATCGATGTGTTTCGAAATGTGCAAACGAAAACCTGTCGATCGAGGTTATTTGGAAGTTAATTCGCTTGTGGTTGGGGGGCTATCGTGAAGTTGGCCCCCCCAAAATTGTTTTTTTAATAACTTTTGAACTAAGAATGTGCAAACGAAAAATCAAAATGTGCATACATGTGCATACGATAGGCAATCAAATGAACTATAGAAAGTTTATTTTTTTTTAAGTTGGGGAGCTAACTTCACACAGGTGCGACAACACGCGACCCGCGCTTGGCTTCTATTCGTTGGGGGTGGTACGGAGGGGATATTGACCCCCTACGAAGATCGTATAAATAGGATAACGCGATCGATACTGCGATCAATAATCCTTCGATCATTAGAAGCATTATCAGGACGATATGGCTACTTATACGAACGAGGAATATTACGATATGCTGATGGTACTCGGAGAGTGCCATGGGCAATATCACGTTGCTGCGAGACGATACGCCGATTTGTATCCCAATCGTGCAAGACATCCAAGCGCCAGCGTTGTACTTCAGGCAGCTCAAAGATTATTTGAAACTGGCAGCGTCTTACCGAAGAAGAAAGATACCGGCAGACATCGCAATGCAAGAAATTTGCGGAACATCGAAACAGTCCTTCGCGCTGTCGAGCAAGAACCTGAAATTAGCATTCGGGATATTGCTCGAGAATATCAATTTTCTTATTCTACCGT